AGGGAAAGATAAAGCAACACAAACACGATGTGCCCCCGGTTCTGGTACTTGGCATACAGAGCCTGACATGCTTCAAATACTCTATCTCTAGACTACACAAATATCTGCCAGTAGTGTGTAGTGAGCTAACCACAGAATAAAGCCTAATTAAACATGGCATTCGAGTCTTTGGCTAGCATGAGACTCGAGTATCCTGACACGGTGAAGTGGCTACTGCTGCTTTCAAAGCTTGTTTAACATACGTACTGGTCCTGGTCTTTAAGATCCCAATGCGTGGTACTAGCATGCCTCGAATGGGACAATATGCAATCTGTTGAAGACATTGCTGGTGCCTTAGCTGGTATTTTGACATACACCACCACCCCTGATCCGTGTTTTCCTCGACACTAAGCACAAACAAGACTGCGTGCATACACAAAATACAATGGACGTCTGATCTACGTTCTAAATGAGATGGAGCACATGGGACTGGCATGAGTAAGAGGGGAAAATGTGGGAGAGGAATCACTACACACAGAGTGTGGTTTGGGTTGAAATACCTACCATCATAATATTCCAAATTCAAAGACTGCTTGTATCAGAACAAAGAAACAACAAATTTAACCAAATGCGATCATATAAGGAAAAAGGAATGAGAAAAGAACTACTCGGTATCCCTCCACCAAGAAAGAAGTACGTACTGAGTTATACATGGAATTAAACTCCAGTAGAACATGGGCTGTCGAAATTTGGGCTCTCTGATGTCTTTCATCTCCTTTTAATGCTGGAAACTCTCCTACTAAAGTTGTAATTAGTTTTGCCTAGAGCTCAGGCGTTTACAGCTCACTTGTTGGGACAAAATTTAGGAAAAAATGTTTTTTTTTTGAAATCGGAAAAAAAAAAGACATCAGATCATTAAAAAAAATGGTATCTACATAAACCTTACCAAGGCATGGAAGCCTACAGGTAGCTATTTAATTTTGCAGATAACATTGAAAAAATGAATACAATAATAAGCTGTAAACACTGGCTTGTACATCTCTAATCATGAGAAAAACACTAGTGCTGCAGATCCCAGAACCTTTTTAAAAAGCCTTTGGAGGCAGCAAACATAGACCCAAATGAAAGACAAAATTCAGATGTACAGCTAAATGTCCATTTTGCTGACAATCTGGAAAAAATAACAAAAAAGCCAAAAGACTGCCAGCTTTAAGGCCTTGAAGTTTTCTTGTTCCCAGTTCTACCACCAGGGAGAGGTTATTGGTAAAGAAAGAGAGAAAATGGCATTAAATTAGCAAGAAATTCCAAAGGTCAAAGATTATTAGCAATTGATGCTGTGGGAGAGAGAAAGGTGGGGAGTGGGGAAAAAAGATTAAAAAATAAAATCACACAAATGCACTAAGAGGACAGATTGCTTTTATTTCCCCAAAGGCCTAATGGGTAGTATTATACCTGCATGGTTTGCACCATAAACTCTGTCGGTCAAGCCCGAACAATGCCCGACACTTCTTTGGAGTATTTGCATCTGTTAGCATAAGGTAAACACAAAAAATACAACACAATGGTGGATAGAGCTCATTTGGACTGCGTCATCTTAGCTACAGCTACGTTTAGCTTTCAATCACCTTAGTTTTATTTGGTAATCTCCCCTCGTACCACGGGCAGGAAAGAAAACAGGACTTTCACAATGAGCCAAAAGAAAACCAAAAAGACTCTCCGACACGGCCGTGTGTCTGTCTGGTGTCGGTACCGCGCTCAATGCCGTGTTATCAAGGGCTTTGGGAGTGATTTTCCTTGGGTGGAGGCTTGGAGGGCAGGAGCGTGGTTGAGCCACGGATTGGATGGGCTTAAGGCTGATGCTGTTTTACAGTGGGTTTTTGGCTAGCAGCAGCAAAGAGGAAGGCAAAAAAAAGACCAACAACGAAAAAAAAAAAGCAAAACCCTTTCAGAGAGATGATAACTCATGGCAGTGTCCCACTCCCTTGTGTCTTCTAGGTCACAACACAGAGCTACAAAGCAACAAGGCAGGAAAAAAAAGGGGAAAGTACCAAATAAACCAGCTGCAAATCAGCCATAGCGAGTCTGGGAAAACTATACACACCTGCAGGGGCCGCACCAGTTATTCTGTTGATCAAGGCCAAAGCGCGCTCGGCATTTCTTAGGAGCGCTCAGGTCTGAATGAGTTCAAGAAAAGCGAGCAGAAAAGGGAGAGAGGAAAAAAAGAAAAGGGGAGAGGGGGGGAGAGAGAGAGAGAGGAAGAGAGAAAAGGGGAGAAAAAAGAGAAAGGTAAAAATAAGGAAAAAATAAAAATAAAAAAGGGAATAAAAATCAATGTCCTCGTTATTAATTGCAAAATATTGACTTTTGATTTAAAAGTTAAAAAAAAGTGATAATCACATTTTTATTCAACTCTTGAGATTAGCTGTTGCAATTAAAGCTGCAGTATCCCTTTATAAAGGACTGTTTCTTTCCCTTTTAAAAGAGCAGGTAGAGGAAAGTCATTGTGGCTGGTCTAGCAGGATGTTTCAGACAAGATTTATTTGGGCTGGGTTTTTTTATTCTCTTTTTTGAGGGGGAGGGGGGAAAGGAAGAAAAGAAGCTGAGTATGGAAGTTAGATCCTGAACATGCTTTTTTCTTCAACTCAGATACAAAATAAAAATAAGAGAAAAAAAAAAAAAAAGGAAAATTATATCTCCTGGATAATGCAGCTTTTGGAATAACATTCAATTTATCTGTTTTTATTAATTTGTATTTAAAAGAATGGATAAGAATAAGCAGATTGCAGAATGAGTATGTTAGTATCAGCCAGAAAATAAAACGAAAAGCATGGCAAGGTGCTGAGTTAGTACAGCTAGTGAATTGCAATGAATAGGCTTGAGCAGAAAGGAAAAAAAAAAAAAAAAAGAATCCAAAACTAAAATAATAATAAAAAAATGCATATGCATGCTAATGTGAGAAGACTTAGTGGGAGCCATGAAAAATGCCATTAGATTAAGGAGGTTCATTACTGACTTGCTTCCATTCTTTATCAGTCTCTTTAAAGAAATACTGCATATTCAATTTGCACAGTTAGTACAACTCTTGCGTTATTTTTACTGCATTACTGTTTTAATAGCATTTGTTACAAAAACAAAAAACAAAATTAAAAAATACTATCAAACATATAATAGATATAAAGATATATAGATAATAAATACTATCAAAACGTGTGGATGGTATTTTTTCTTAATGTCATAAGTGTTTAATGTTAAAGTCTATAATGGCAGGAAAAAAAATTAAAAAGCAGTTTATAAACTATTTTAAATGACTCAAAATGACGTTAGCACCTGTAATCGGAGGAAGTGAAAGGCAAGGATTTAGGAAACATTCGCTGTGTTCTGAAAAAAAAGAACAAATTATACAAAGGCTTCAAAAAAACTAACTCAGGGCTTCTTCAAAATTGACTATGAGATTGCCTATGCAGTATTTCTAATTTCCTATATAGAATGGCAAACCTCCTTAATTTAAAATGGGTGCGATTTACCACTGTAAGGCATGCATCAGAACATACAGGTACAGCCCAAATTAATACCAAACACATACATACGTACGTACACGCACACACATATGCGCAAAAAAAAGCAGACAACTTTATAAACGATGGCATAGGCATTACAGCTACGGCTCTGCAGTTAAAGGCTTTGCAATTATTATGTACAAATTCAGCTAACGTCACAAGAGGCTCTTACATGCAATGGCTTGGTTACTAGTTTTAGAAGGGCAATAACGCGTAAATAATTAGAGTGCATTAAAAAAAAAAAAAAGGCTGCCTAGTATAGGGACCGGCTCCCGGTGAGGCCAGGAGACTCGTACCCACCTCCCCCATACCTAGGAGCGTCACACCAGGGTTGCCACACTTCCACTAAGCAAGAGGTTTAGATTTATTTTTACTTACCATTGGTCTCTCCTGGCTGCTTATCCCTTTTCCTCTTCTTCTTCTTTCCCTGCGGGAAACATACACAAATGAGAAGGATTAAAACAGCCCCCAGAACATGCCTCCTTGCAAGACAGCACTGAGTGATGGGGCTGCGGGCGGTGCGGGAAGCTCCCCGGGGAGGACACTGATGCGCGGTGCCGGCTCGCTCCCGGTGGAGGGAGGCTTGGGGGGCCCCCGGGGGGATGCTCGCACCCTGGGGATGGGTCTGCCTGCTCACCCTGTGCCTTTTCAGACAGGCTTGCTGCAGCCCCCCACAACGCTAACACCCACCAAAGCCATCAGCAGCTGGGGAGGGGGCAGAATGTCTTGCAAGATGCTTCTTTTGAGATAAGACTGTCATCATGACAGAAACATTGACGCTTGTATACTCCTGCTTCAAAAAATTCATTTCTGTGGGGTGGGGAGGGGAAGAAGGGGCAACAGCAGAGATTCAAGGTGGAAGAGGCCATGAGTGAGGTCAGCCTGAGCCCCTGGAGTTCCAAGCACCCAAAACTGACTGATAAAGCAGACGAGGAAGCCACAGTAATGAGCAAAACCTGACCTGCAGGTGTGTAAGTGCAGTGACAACTTAGGAAGCTAAGCCAGGAAGAGAAAAAAATCCAGATATAACTATGACCCTTCCCACATTTTGCTCCCTCACAAGAAAAAATAATCAGTAATGTTTTGCTAAACTGCGTCCCTTTCCAAAATACCATCCCGCAAGATGGTGCAACTTGTTATGGTTTCTGACTGGAGGAAGAAAGCCCTTCCTCCATTTCCCTCCAGCAGTGTGGCAGAGGACATGACCAGGAGCCCAACTTCTGTGGAAACCCAACGATCGTTTTCCAAGAGAAGAGTTAGAAAGTAATAAGCATGGCTCAAAAGAGAAAAGCCGTTTTCTAAGATAACTTTTCTACCACTGAGCTACAGGCTTCGCAGAGCAGCTCAAAAATGCCAGTGCCAGGGGACAGAGTCATTTCATTTTCACAGCTCTCCAGATGATAAAAGCAATGACTTTTGGCCCAGCAAAGTGAACTGTGAACAGCGCGGAGATCCCGGCTTTTGAAGATGTGGGACTGAGAGAAGCTGGTGAAAAGACACCAGGCAAGCAGTCCTTTGTGGTCAAAAGGGAACCAACATGTCTTGGAAGAAGGAATCTCACAGCACTTTTGAAGGGCTGGGCATATCTGTGGGGAAGCCAAGAGGTTCTCCCACACGGTGGACATCTTTCTCAGTAGGTCGGTCTGGCTCCCAGCTAAAATGCTTAAGATTAGGCTTCAGCTTGCGACATCCACTATAACATTTGGGATGCTCACTATGATACGTTCCCTGGAATGCATTGGTAAAAAATTTCCCCAACACAAATGCTGGATTTTGATTTGTTGTCATATTTTTCCACACCAAAAGCTGGCTTTCTGGCATGGGGCTTCTGTACTCATGCCCCCCTTGCTTGCTCAGGGTTGTAAACTGCCACCCTGCTGTCCAGGCTGCGACAAGCAGTAGGAAAAAACTTGGTATCTTGAAGTCCATGTATCACATAAAGATACACGAGGCTCCGGCTGCTCCATCTATATTGATTTAGATTGACAGTAACTCTGTGAAAGTCAGTGAATTTTTTCCATGTTTACAACAACATAACCGAAACCAGACAATTGCCTCAGGACCATAAGCCTGGTTTTTGTTTAATCTCAAGGAGGCCACCTGCATAATGAACAGACTGCATCTTGTGGCAAATTTGCTTAATTTTTGCAGTACATTTGGGAATTCACGGGCTATTCCACCTTACAACTTCTTCACAGAAGGGCCAGCCAGAACAGCGGTCAGGAGTGACCTGCCCTTTACAAAATCTTCGAGCCAGGTATTAAAGTACTATAAACCCTTTAGGGAGCAATCTGTTAAAAATGGCTGATATACAGGAATGTCAGCCAGGGACCAGGAATTTCTGGTTCCTTTTCAACACAAGCTTTGAAAACTGTTCCTAACAAAGAACTGACAGAGGTCCCACTAACTTCTACACCATTTTCAAAGGAAATAGGGAGAAGAATCACCTGGCTTCCTTGTTCGATTTCTGTGCTACGAGAAGATACTTGTTTATGCAGCTAAATTAATGCATGGACTTAAGAAGAAGAACTATGGCAGCAGTTTTTCAAGTGCTCCCAGCTAAATTAATGCATGGACTTAAGAAGAACTATGGCAGCAGTTTTTCAAGTGCTCTGCAGAAGACACTGTTTTCCCTTTGCTTCCAATTGTCCTCCTAAGACTTGAGCAGACAATCTGTCACATTTTCCGTCATTGTACTATACAAATTCTTAGGCTGCCAGTAAAGGTGGATGTAAATACTTGCTAACCATTTTGGCAGCTCCCTCTACAGAGCCAAACCACCATGGGTTTTGACAAGACTGCAGAGTTCTTTGGTCCTAATTTTCTAGGCAAGAGGCAGGCGAGCTGAGTAGATCCTTACATACTTCTGAGTCCAGCACTCAGTGCTGCTCAGCATCTTATATTAGATCTCAGGAAGAGCAAATGTGCCTTGTGACACCAACAAGCCATGAGGGATTCCCTGTACCCTCTTCTGTTATTTAAGAGCAGGCTGAAAGCTGTATTTCTTGAAGGTACTACTCCTATTTCTGAAGACCTGGGCTACAGCTGGCCCCTTCCTCACGCCTGATGTGAGATGCCTAACAATTTAACCATTTCAAGCAACCCAAATGTGCTCCCCTTCTAGATGTGTGAAGGGCTCGAGACTCTACAAAACACCAAGGGAAGAGGGGAACTCGGAGAGCTCTGAACCGACCAGAAGAGGAGAAATAAATCCTGAGGATGATGCAACTGCGTGATGCAAAGGTGCCATGCTCTCCTCAGGCAGGAAGGTTCCCCCTGAAGGTCACTTGGGGGTACAGCATCAAGCCGCTGGGAAAGCGCCGGCTTTCTCATCCTGTCCTTTTTAGCTTGAGAAGAAAGGGTTTCGCAGTGCTCACACGGTGAGGACAAAAGTAGAAAGTCCTAAACACTGAAGGCTTTGTACATGCCCATCTGTCGGTGGCACAGTCACTGAGCAGAATGAGCATTCCCAAAACCTCAGTCGAGCCTATACTCCCTTTTGAACACCCAAGAAGGCGATACCGCACAGTGCCGAGGAACTCTCTCAAGCCTATGGTCTGACAGCCTCAGGCCAGACTATGCCAAAAAAGAAAGGCAAAATGTTTAAGCAGGAGCAGTGCCTCATTGGGCTTAACAAGGTCTCCTCTGAGGAGCATGCACAGCTACACCTGCAATGGCGAACAAAGGAGGAGCGAGGCAGAGCCCAATGGACAGAAAAGATGGTGAAGAAAGAGCAGAAGGGTTTGAAAAAGTGTCCGTAAGTACATATTGCTAAATAAACGAGCGTGTGTATTCTCCACTGCTGAAACTGTGGAAGAGGGCAGAGAGCTGCGGCTGCTGCTCCAGCCTTTGCTGCAGACTCTGAACTGGCTTCTTCCCACCCGTACACAGGAAAGTGCAGATTCTCATAGAGGTAAATATTGCCATATACAAAGGACACACTTTAGGGGATTTACAGCAAAACAGGGGATTTACGGTAAAATAGGCAGTGATGACGATGATGATGGAAGAGACAGACTTCAACAAAAACAAAATGCGTAACACTATACATAACTGACATCAGTCTTACAGCTGCTGGTCCCCAAACCTGCACGGAAGTCTGCCTGGAAGGCAGGGAGCAAGGTTTATTCCAGAGTTAGAGACCTTGAAAGTTTTAGGTGATTTTTATTTCATTTTTTAAAAAAATGGTCAAGATGCTGCTATAATCCTATAAAAGAAGGTTTAGAGCTCCCACCAATCCACAGATCTGTCAAGAATTTACGGGTTTAGGCTTGCAAAACTTACTACCAGATGCACTGCTTACCCTTCATGGGAGCAGGGGATATATACTACTAGTAAGTGGTTACAACGCTGGCCTTATATTTTTAACAGACAGAAAATTCTACCCTTTTTAGCTACAAAACAGGCTTTCTGAAAGGCGGAGGAGGGAATCAGTCTTAAAAACACTCCATGAATTGATCACAAATGCCAAAACACTTTTTAAAAAATGAGGCGGGGTGTGGGGGGGAGGGGGGAGGATAACACGGCCATGAAAAAGCAAAACATAATCGAAATACACAACAGTAGAGCGTGGAATAATTCATTTAACCCCACTTGAGAGTAAGACTTTCAAACAAGTCATGCTTTTGGTTTTGCCAGTCCTTCTCTGAAGCCAGGATAAGTCATTCTTCCACTTTCCACTATCACACAGATAAGCACAAGACACTAATTATTCATCTTTTTGGTGGAAAGGAGAGGAGCCATACCAGGGGAATTTTTAATTTTGTTTAAAAAAATGAAATTTAAAATGATCAGCAAGCCAAACAGCATTTCCAGATGCTGGTAAAAGTGAAGGCAAGAGTTTCTTCACAGAGCTCTACCGTCATGCCCCAATTCTAACCGTTTCCTACTCCCAACCAGGAAGCCTCTTCCAAGCTGAGGGCTAGGAATTATCCCCAATAGTTTTAGTATCGCAGAGGGAAGCGTCCGCTGTTGTTACCAGATTGGGATCCTGAGGCACGCTTTTCAAGTAGTGCTTGTGTGCAATGTGTGGTT